TGGTCTCAAACCCATGGGCTCAGGCAATCCTCTCATCTCAGCCTCCCAAAGTGCTGGGATAGGTATGAACCACCACGCCCAACCTCACATCTTTAAAAATAAAAAAGTTTTTAAAATAAAAAAGTTTTTTAAAAAAATACCCCTCACAGAATTTCAGATCAAGCGCAGTGGCTCACACCCGTAATCCCAGCACTTTGGGAGGCTGAGGCGAGAGACTTGCTTGAGCCCAGGAGTTGGAGACCAGCCTGGGCAACATAGTGAGAATTTGTCTCTACAAAATATTAGCTGGGTGTGCTGTGAAACGTCCCTCTAGTCCCAGCTACTTGGGAGGCTGAAGCCAGAGGAACATCCAGGAGGTCAAGGCTGCGGTGAGCTGTGATTGAAGGAAACCAGAGCATAAACTGACAAGGTCCTTATGTTTCTTGGCTTGTGTTCAAGGAACCAAGCCTATATTTCCTTTGTCTCCCCTGACCTTTGGTTGCTATTCCATGGATAGCAGAGCAGCGCCATGCCTAGCCTGGACGCTATCTGTCCTAAGGGATTGCCTTGCTTTTAACTTAACATAGACGTTAAGATGAGCATGGTTTAGACATTAACATATATCTTGCTTGTGTGGTTTTGCCCTCCCTTCTGTGATTTTTTTCCCTATATAAGAGGCATGCGGTGAAAATAAGTTTGCTCTCTCTCTCCTTTCTACCTGGGAGAGAATCCTCCCAATCCTGCTGTTTCTCTCTCTTTCTTTCTCATTCCCTCCCCCAACCTCAGGCCCTGCCCAGCGGAGACTGGAACTCCGCATGTGATTCTCCCACAGTACTCCAGCCTGGGCAGAAAAGTGAAGCCCTGACCAAAAAAAAAAAAAAAAAATCAGAAGACAGGCTGCTGTGTCTCATTGTCACAGAAAATCCCCCAGCCCTCCGCCACTGAACCCACAAGAAGGATTTTTTTTCCCTCCTTGGGAAGGGGAAGTGAGAGAAACCTACACAAGGTCAGATATTCCTCCAGTGCTCCCTAGGTTACACTCAGCAGGAAATACCTCAAAAAACAAAACTTCCTTGTCATGTTTTGATGCCTGAGCCATCAGGAAATAAAAGAGCCTGTGAAGTTAAGCTGAGCTGTAAGCACAGTCGGTGTCTCGTTGAGCCTTGGTCAGAGCAGACGTGACATGGGCCAGGCACAGCCTTTCCCCAGAATAAACCCAGACTCAGCCCTGCGTGGAAAGAGGTAGGTTTGGAGAGTGAGATACACCTGGGTCTGAATCATGGTTTCTTTGTCTTTTTCTTTTTTTGAGGCGGAGGTCTCTGTTGCCAGTCTGGAGTGGGATGGCAGGATCACAACTCACTGCAGCCTCAACCTCCTGGCCTCAGGTGATCCTGCCGCCTCAGCCTCCTGAGTAGCTGGGACTGTAGGTGCACACCAGCACACACAGCGAGTATTTTGATTTTTGTAGAGACAAGGTCCCTATTTTGGGACCTGGTTTCAAACTCGAGACCAGCCTGGGCAATATAGCGAGACTTTGTCTCTACAAAAAATCAAAAAAACTAGCCAGATGTGGTGGTATGTGCCTGCAGTTCCAGCTATTTGGGAGGCTGACGCAGAAGGGTAACCTGAACCGAGGAGGTCGAGGCTGCAGTAAGCTGTGATTATACTTCTGCACTTCAGCCTGGGTGACAGAGTGAGGCCCCAACAAAAGAAAAAAAATGCCTGCCCATCCTCCATCCTCACATCCATGTCCCCATACAGGAAGATAATCCCCCATCCCTTTGTGTCACATAGCCATTGATGACACCTCAAGGATGTCCAAATGTCAAATGTCACAATGGATAGTTACTCACCCAGCACTTACTAACCATTGACACACATGCCAGATGGGGGCTA